CAGGAGAGGTCTGCGATGCCATGTGGTCACCTCCGGGGCAGGCGGGGATCAAACTCATGCGGAAGTGGCGTTAGCTTCTTAGTGCTGTGTTTTAACTGGCTGCGCCACCAGGGAGGGCCGAGATATAAATATTTTTAAATGATCATTGAAGCTTATACAAAACAGGACTATTTGAAAAACTAGGAAGCCATTCTTCAAAATATAATCAGCAAAGATGATACAGATCCATCTCTCAGCCTCACTGTGAGAGTGAGTCATTTGAGAGGTCCTTTGCTCCAAGTTATAAAAATACCTACTGTCATGAAGTTAAAATTCACTTTTTCTTTGGGTAAAGCTAATTAACAAATGGCCTGAAGTCTCCCTCCCACCAGCTCTGGAAAATCTTTAGCAATTTTGTTACTGTTGATCAAGTACAGTTGAATTCAGACTGAATTCTGACATATTCATTATTAATGCATTACTAATAATGAATCAAGTCCTCATTTCTAACACTTATATCCATCCTGTGCAATTTTTCTTGGATAGGAGCAACAGTGAGATGATGAAAAAAATAGACAAGCTCAAAAAATATTTAGAGAGTAAAACCAAAGTGTTTTGTATGGTTATTTGTGGAAGGGAGGAAACAAGATTTCCATATTGTGACTTGTATAACTGCATGTACAGAATTTAGAAATTAAAGTCAACCTGGTGGTTAAAATGATGCATGTGCCACAGGTAAGCCATTTGCAGAGAGAAAACTTAGAGGTCACCAGCTCTATGGAGCAGAGCTCAGGGGGCAGGGTTTTATTTCAGTTGTGCATTTCTACCAGATGTTTAATCTTGGGACTGCATGGAAATGGTCAGGAAAAGTGGGACAAATTGGAAGTTGTTCCCAAATCTAGTGACTCCTTATGTTGAAGATGTGGGGAGGAGGAGAATTATCACCCAGAAAGATAGACAATATGATTGCTGAACACCCAGTTCAAATTACAGGAACAATAATGAGAAAATACACTGCCTAATGTAATGCTGCCAAATAATGTAATTTCAGTCAGGTTTACCCAAGCTATTCTTCAAGTAACTTAAACCAAATTGTATCATGAAGAAGATAATGAGGTCATGTCTTTCCATATTCTGTATGGTAATTCAGTATAAATTTGAGTTGAGAGTGTATTCAAATAATAAATACGGTCTATTAAAATGGCTCCAATTTTTAAAATAAATCACCAATAATGACATTAAAAAAATCTCAATGTGGAGGATTATCAGCTAACTGTATGTTAAAAAGCAGCACTGAGAAAGTTCTATATTACCAACATGGAACTGGAGTGTACATGCCTTCATTTTTACATCAAGAATCTCCTCTAGTATTTTAAGATTTGATATGCTCCAATTCACTTGATAGAATTGACATTTTAAGGTTGTGCCCAGTAACCTAGGCAACTGTTCTTATTTCTGTCCTAATTTACTTCTATTTATAGAGCTTATATAGATTCAATGGTCTTAACAATATTTTTTAAAACAGACTAGATTTACAAACTGTATGTTCTTAAGTAAATATATCAAAGATATGACAAATCTTACTGATCAAGCCCAGAACAATTTAATTTTAGATTATCATTAAATATGTTGAATAATGTATCTTTTTAAATGGTAGCATAACTATCATGGTGAAATATCATATAAATGTAGTTGAAATTGTATTTTTTTGAAATTATAAATTTTAAGTGCTTTACTTTACTTTTAATGTTACATTCATGAAGTCGAGTGCAATAAGTAGAGATCACAGCTTCAAACACCTTTCACTATTAATCTTATAATCATGAAATAAAAAATTCTGTTTGTTGTTTAAAATTCAGTCTATTTTCACACCTATTTTCAAATTTGTTTTTATGATAAAAATTATCTGGTCTACACTTGTTAGTAGGATTGACAAAATAAACAAAGACCTCTTTGAAGAGTTCTCTATAAGCCTGTTATCAAACTCATATGCACATCACTGTAAAATGTCTGATCACTACATACAACAATGGCACATGCCCAGTGAGTATTCTTGTTTAATAATTAAGATAATCACTAATTTCCACTGCTGTTCCTCTGCTACTTCACAAGGCATGCACTATTGGTCTTTTAACATTTCATTCTCATTGACAGTGGAGTCTAAATCATTATTTGTTGGGTACAGACCTTTACAATGCCCAGTGGCATTTGCCATGGATGACAACAATAACAGATGATGTTGAGACAGAGCTACTGGGACTGAAATGCAGAAAGTTAAATGATAATAAATAACTGTCACTCCATTACTTAACACTGCCTGAAACTGCTTCTAGTACAAGTTCAAATATAGCAGGGTCTGCATAATCTAAGAACCAAAAAGGCATTTACTGCTTAGTAATAGCAGCAAACAAAAAGAAACCCCAACCACTTGTTTTGTGAAGTGATCAGGGTTTTCTCATTGAGCGTGACATGCACCTTCAAAGAATTCTAAAAACAGTCTACTTCAAGACTTTATAGTATCTTCTCAAATTGATGGTCCCTGGGAAATGTGCCAAAAGGCACTCTCAGCCCAATAGATGCAAACTTCAAGAATGTGGGACAGAATATAAAGATAAAATCCTATGGCTATGAGACTAAACTGTTGAATAGGTCCTTAATACAGAGATGTAAGTTCAAAGAATACGGGGTGTTAGGGATATAAGACACCTAGGAGAGATAATTATATCTATTCAAATATGATCTTGGTTATGTTCGGGCAATTTGGCTAGAGAGTTGAGCTGATCTCATTGGCTATCTCATAAACTGGAGGTATGAGAGCATAATTGTAATAAACTCACAAAAGAGATATTCAGTCATAGGATATTATTAGAGTGAATTTCCATATTATACAATAATTACTTTTTAAACACAAAAGAAATTTTTACTCTCCTACCTTTTCTCTGACTGCTGTGGCATTCACTAGTCTGTTCTCTTTCATTCTATAATTGATGTGGCAGATTTGCTGGGCAGTAGTATTTGTTTGCTAGTTGGTAAAGGTCTATTCTACTAACTATGCTGCTAACTTATGATGCCTTCTAAGGATTTGCTCTGTGCTTTGCTCAATCAGTAAAAGATCTGGGAGTTGCACCTATGACAGACTGTCTGGGCTGACAAGACAATGCAGTCTCCAGCTCTCTTTCAAGGGAGGTGACATACCCGGTCAGTTTTCCCTTCTGTCTGAATGCTGGTGTGACTGCGGACCTCATGATCCTCTTCCAGGTCAGAAACATCCTCCAGTTCCTCTGGGGTCTGTAAATAAACACAATATGCTGGTCACAATGCAAAATGGTATAATCACTTTGGAGAACATCCTGGTAGTACCACAAAAAGGAAGCACAGAAACAAATGTGACCCAATAAGGTAACCTCTAGCTATATACTCAATAAAATGGAAACATGTCCACACATACATGACTTTCAATGAATGAATTATCAGTGATAGCCAAAAGGATAGCTGATACAAAAAAAAAAATAATAATAATAACAATAGGTCTGTCCTGGTGGTGCAGCAGGTTAAAGCACAGTACTGCAAGCGAACTGCAGCTGCTTTAGTGTGAGTTCGAAACCTGGCCCCAGAGATGATCCACATGGTGCGGCAGATATCTCCTGCCTAGCCTGCTGCTCCCCTCAGCAATGCACTTCATCAGTCTGCCTGTTCTGCTCCCCATTCTGTCTCTGGTGAATTTTCTTACCACCCCTGCACTCCAGCTCTATGTGAATAAATAAATAAATCTTTCAAAAAAAAAAAAAAAAGAGCAGCAATACACATCTGTCCAAACAAAACCTTTGTTGTGCCTCTATCTTCCATATTTCATTTGATTTATGCTGTTCTTCTTACTTCAGGGATTTTATTCCATGTCACTGAGGCAATTATTTAAAAATTAGCCATTATTGCAAATGAAGATAAAGGTATTTAATAAGGTTTTTAATTTATACAGCCTCAACTTGAAGCTATGATTCCTTTGCTACAAAACTCTAGTAAGAAATACAAATTTCAAGTTTCATGAAAAACAACCAAAACCAAGTAAATAAGTCTGTAGATCTGACTTTTAAACACTGGAAAACTGCAGGGTCTATCACTTCAGAACAGCACTGGGTTATCATAAAACATTTCTTGAACCACAACTCCTCTTTGTTTGTTTCAGGGCTGGGAAGGGTTTCCCTTCTCTTGGAACCACTTGCAACTTGCTTTGATGAGTTTACATTGTGCATTAAAGCTACTAGTTTCCTTACCTTTATGGGTTCCAGATTTTTTTCAACTCATGGATTTTTACAGACACTTTCCTTGTTTTTCAACACTTGCAATGAGCATTACCCATCACTTTTCATTTGCTTCAACTGACATATATATATAAAACCCATATATAAATACACACACATACACGTATATATATATATTATAAAGGCTTAAGAATAATATGCTGAGGTATATGCAGTCCTTTGCTGCAACTACACGCAGTATGATCATGCAGGACAATTTATTCTCTTTCTGGGGTATCAATAACTCAAGTACACCACTATGAAATTTCTGCACAATTACACCTGTCAATAATTATTACCTTTGCGTATTTTCACAGTTATTTTTGATAAAAGCTTTAGTAATGCTCCACTATGACAAACTCAGTCCCAAGTAACAACTGAATTCAGTTATTAAATTCCCTTTCTTGGGTCTCCTTTCTTTGTACCTGAAAGCTGTGTTGTCCCTAGTGTGATTGATCTGTAGCTTATAAATGACTGTTGTTTACTAACTAGGTAATGGTCTATCATGTAACTGCATTGTTGGTTCCAATATTTTACTCAGTTAGGAATAAGATATTTTTTTTCTCAGTTAGGAGAAAAAAAGATTCAAGGTCCCTCCCTGGTAGCACAACAGTTAGAGCACAGCACTACAAGCTAGCTGAAGCTGCTTCAGTGCTAGATCAATCCTCTGCATGAAGGTGACCACCCATGCACATGGCACAGCAGACCTCTCCTGTCTCGCCTTCTGCTCCCCTCAGCAGTGCACTTCATCGAGCTGCCTGTTCTGCTCCCCACTCTGTCTCTGGTGATCCTCTCACCACCCATGCACCTCTGGCTTATAGCCCAATTCTGTATGCATAAATAATTAAAAAAAAAAAAAAGACTCAACAGAAAGTAAGAACTGCTGCTGTCCAGAGGCGACATGTACTTTTTGCTGGTGATGCTACTGGAAGAGATAAGTCTATCCTTTACAACCACCCATATACTTTTGCACTGTTTTGTCTTTAACAGGACACTAAGTTTCTTTGTAAAGCCACAACTGACCTCTTCTTTTCATGACTAAAACCAATGAGGAAGTGCCCGAAACACTTGCTGGCAGCATTTTGCATTCTATAGCACAAGGGATTGGATATTCGAAAAATAAAGTAAAATACAAATTGCTATAGCTTAAGTGGAAATTTTTTTTTTTTAAAGATTTATTTATTTGTACATACAGAACTGGGGTACAGGCCAGAGGCTCAGGGGTGGCGAGAGGCTTCACCAGAGACAGAGTGGGGAGCAGAACAGGCAGATGTATGAAGCACACTGCTGAGGGGAGCAGCGGGCGGGTCAGGAGAGGTCTGCCGCGCCATGTGGTCACCTCCGGGGCAGGCGGGAATCGAACTCATGCGGAAGTGGCTTTAGCTTCTCAGTAGTGCTTTAACCCGCTGCACCACCAGGGAGGGCCTTAAGTGGAAATTTTAAAAAGAGCATTATTCAAATCATGTTTAAGATGATATAATACATTAATTTCTTCAGGACTACAGACAAGTAATAACGGAAATAACAAATATTTTTAAAAGGTGGGAATATGAGCTACTCTATAATGTATACTCTTGAAAATATTTACTCATTTATCTGGTAACTTTAGAAGGTTTGACATGTGGACGGGGTGTAGAGGTGTGTGTGTGTGTTTGTCAATTTTCATTTTGTGGAATGGGAAACCTACTACATTAGAGGTAGTGTCATGCAATAGAAAGACCCTGTACTGCTGAGCAATGCAGCGCTAAAATTGAATTCTGGCACCCCAAATAGAGATTATAAGACTCTGGGAAATTTGTGTAACTTTTTTTTTTTAAGATTCATTTATTTATGCATACAGAACTGGGGTACAAGCCAGAGGTGCGGGGGCAGTGAGACGCTTTACCAGAGAGAGTGGGGAACAGAACAGGCCGACAAAGTATACTGTTGAGGGGAGCAGCAGGTGGGTCAGGACAGGTCTGCGGTGCCATGTGGGTAACCCCCAGACTCGCAGCTCTGGCAGGATTGCAGACTGTGTCCTAAACTGTTGTTCCACCAAGGAGGGCCCAATTTGTGAAACTTTTTATCTTTGGTTTCCTCAGAACAAACTTGTATGTATTTTACCTTTTCTTAAATTGAGTTACCATTGGTTTATAATGTTTTGCGTGTGTTAGGAGCATAACCTCCCTATTTGGGTATTATTCCTTTACCCTACCGATAGCCAGGCACCCATAGTTCTCCACTACAGCTCACTGTGCTCTCTCCTGTTCCTTCTACTCTGGTAGCCTCAGTTCTACAGCCAGATTTCTAGCTTTATCTGACCTTTATCTGACCTTTTTTTCCCTATGTTCCACACATAAGTAGCAGCATCATTCCTTTTTCTCCTTCAGACTTATTTTTCATAGGACAATCCCTTCCAGCTCCAACCATGTTGTCACAACTAGCAAGAGTCTATCTTTCTAAACAGCTGACTAGTATTCCATTCTGTATAAATAACACCTCTTGATCTACCCATCTATTTTGGGGTACTAGATTGTTCCCAGCTTAGCTATTGCTGCAATGCCCAATGGACTGCACATTCCTTTAGAATTACTGCCTCTGTATTCTTTGGGTAGAGAAGTCAGAATGGAATTACTGGGCTATGTGGTGGATTTATTTTGAATATTTGGAAAGAGCTCCATATTCCACCATAGGGACTATACAGAATTACATTCCCACCAAAGTATACACGAGTTTCTTTTTTCTCCACATTCTTGCCAACATTTGCTGTATCTCCTTTTATTGATAATGGGCCATTCTCACAGATGTGAGAATATTTCACTGTGGTTTTGATTTGCATTTCCCTCATAAGTGAATTTTATTTTATCTTTTTGTTTTTTGTTTTTTTTTTTCTCATTTGAGGATCGGCCAGCTGTATGTCTTACACATATGATAAGGAATTAATATCCATGATTTACAAAACTCAATAAGAAAGTAAAAATTCCAATTAAAAAAAAAAAGGGGGGGGGAGCCCTCCTGGCCTCCTGGTGGTACAGCAGGTTAAAGCACAGCACTAATAAGCTAAAGCCACTTTAACATGAGTTTGATCCCCAACCCGGAGGTGACCCACATGGCATGACAGACTTCTTCTGATCCACCCGCTGCTCCCTTTAGCAGTGAACTTCATCAGTCAGTCTGTTCTCCTCCCCACTCTGTCTATGGTGAATCCTCTCACCAGCCTTGCAACCTCTGGCCCGTACCCCAGTTCTGTATGCATAAATAAATCTTAAAAAAAAAGCCAGGAATCAGGTGACACAATGGGTTAAAGCACTGCATTATGAAGCACTCTAAAGTCACCACAGCAGGAGTTTGACTCTGGCCAGGGTGTGGCGGACCTCTTTTGACCCACCTGCGCTGCTCCCCTCAGCAGTGCACTTTGTCAATCTGCCTGTTCTATTCTCCACACTGTCCTCTTGTGAATCCACTCACCACCCCTGCGCCTGTACCCCAGTTCTGTATGAATAAATGAATAAATCTTTTTTTTAAAAAAACAAACAAAAAAAAGTCTCCCAAAGTTTATGCACACCTAATTTTTGACAAAGGAGCAAAGAAGATACAATGGAACAAAGAAAATTTGTTCAGCAAGTGGTGCTGGGAAAACTGGGAAGCTACATGC